AGCTGGTCTGGATTTTGATTTTCTGGAAAGATCAATTTGAGATGGTATGAATCTGGGCTTCTTTTTTCTTTCTTTCTTTGTTTTTTCCCCCTTTTTTTAGTTCAAGAACTCTGGTTATCCATTTATTTTTTTCTATAAAATATTTTATCTTTTGGTTGATTGAATTAGCACTGCCTTGAAGTATACAGATCATGGGTTTTGGGCTTTTTTTGTTTTCTCCTTTTTTTTATATATAAAAGAACTTTACATTAGTGGATTTTAATCCAACACTAAGAAACATGATGATTGCTTCTCATTGCTCTGCACTGAGTGGTACTAATGACTAATGAAGGGCTGCTGAAATATATGCTTTATGACTATATTATCTGCCGTTTTTTTCTTTTTTAATCTTTTGCAATATATAATACTCCATATCTTTTTAGTTTGCTTATCAATATTGTTTTGGAAGACAAAACCCTGGGTTATTTGGATAGAATGGTAAAACCAAAGAGTATGTGTAGACAACTTAAATTTCACCTCTACCTATTCCTGATATAAATAGTACTTCTTAATTTCATTTTCTGTTGAAGGTTTCCCTCTGAATTCTCCTAACGTATTCCTGCAATGCTCCATAATCGATTATCTCCCAATAGAAAATCGATTATCACTCATCTCTGAAGATATCCAGTTTGGAAGCCAGTCCTTGTTAATCGATTAATCTTGTAGTGTCAATCGACTACTGGATACCTCTGAAAATTCTTGGTTTAGCAGACACACCTTGTTAATCGATTAAAAGTATTTTACATGGCTTGCAAGTCATTCCATGATGGAGATTGCATGAAAGACTGCATTGTGGATCTTTCTAAAATTTTTATATACTGTCCTATTAGCTTTGTGTGCTTCTATGACTAGCACACTGTTCTTTTATGAGTTTCACTTGAAAGTAATTGAATGAAACAATTTTCTTTCTAGATTTATGCTTCATGCTGGTTAAATGCTAAATAGAATCATCACAGTTTGTGTATGGGAATTTTATAATATGATTAATGTCATTAATCAATGGCATTTGGTATTTTTCAACTGGTGATCTTGACAATCATCTTATCATGCAGGTTTAGTTATATTTCCCATGATATAAAGATGAAGAAGCTGTTCTTTTTCAGATCAAGTACTTCTAGTGCTGGAAATGACATCTCCCCCCCATCAAAGGACAAAGAGTGCAATTGGGAAAAAAGAGTAGACACTCTTGAAAAGTCTAGAAGTAAAAAACAAAGTTTAGAACATTACAATTTTGGCGATACCCCATCTCTTAGAAGGAGTCTATCTTTTTCATCTACATCGGTTAACAATGGAGTGGCAATACGGAATCTCGAGGATGGAAGTGAGTCCATAAGTCGTGGTAGTGCTCAACTTAGGAAATCAGGCCGTCGTTCAGCTTGGTATGCAGACACATTTCTATGTTACTCTCTTGAGTTCAAATCTTTTTTTCATACTTTACATTTCACATGGTGTGGCACTTGATCGCAATTACCACAAAGTAAATGAATTATAATAATTGTTCCTAACATTCTGGAAGGAGGAATGCGCGAATGCTGTGTGTACTCACAACCCGCGAGTGCAAATCATACCTCAAACAATATTGTCACATGTGCATAATGATTTTTCTCTGTTCACTTTTTCCTTTATAACTATATATATATGGTAGAATATTATTGTGGAGGCGCGTGGGTGGGTGGGTGCAATTTGCACTCTTAGTGTCGACTATAGGAGCATGAGACTTGTGATATACTATTTTCAATTCATAACTTATTCATGGTTCCTTTTTTATGTTTTCTTTCAGTGACCGAGCACATAGTAGTGAGAGGCAGCCCCAATCCAAGCACTCAATTGGTGTTGAAACTTCTTACAAAGTGAGGAATGATTATAGTTCTTCATTCATACCACCCAATGACTTCTCAGACAACTCTTCCCACAGCTCCAGTAACGTTTTAGATCGTTATATAGACGGGGAGCAAGCGTTTGAAAGGAGTGGATCAAGTAACGAATTGCCTCCAAAAGTCCATCATATGGCACCTGTTTCACCACCAAACATTAAGGCACAAAAGCCTAAATGCCGATCTTTCAGAGAGAACGCAGGAACTCAATTGTATCTGTCTTCTTGGGAGTTGATGGAGAATGGTGTTGGGCATGAATCTCCTAGAAAACTTGCCAGAAAAGTGGTTGAGAGGCTTTCTCAATCCCAGTTGCTTTCTGAGAAGATTTCAAAAGAATTTGATGTTCATACTCCGATTACAATTGAAGATATCTATAAGAGGAATGGAAGTAGACATTCTAATGTATGTTCTGATGGCATATCTCAGAATCACTATTCAATAAATGGATTGAATGACACAACCAGTGAGTATCATGGTGAATCGGTTCCGAGCTTACAAGAAAGGAATTTCAGCACCGAGAAAACTCTTTATGCTGTGGAGGATTCAGATTTTGAACTGTATAAAAAGTTCAAAGAAGCCGATGAACGAGCAAGGATGCTCTCTGAAGATCTTGAGGAACTGAATTTTTTTCAGCGCGAAGAACTCAATGTTCCTGCATTGATTCAGAAGATTAGAGATCTAACTGAAGAAAAGTTAAAAATGGCCATTGAGGTTTCAGATGCACTGAAAGACCAAATTACTGAGAGAGCTTCTGCCAAAGAAGAGATCGGATCGTTACAAGATAAACTAGATGCTCAAACTCGAAGGTTGGAGATGGAGAAGAACGAGTTGCAGTCTTCACTGGAAAAGGAGTTGGACAGAAGATCAAGTGAGTGGTCTCTCAAGCTTGAAAAGTATCAAACAGAAGAACATCGGCTTCGTGAAAGGATCAGGGAGCTTGCTGAGCAAAATGTTTCTCTTCAAAGGGAAGTGTCTTCCCTCAGCGACAAGGATGAGGAAAATAGGAGTAGCATATCATATTCAGAAAAACAGCTTGGTGATCTTACACGGAGTGTGGAGGAGAAAAGAGAGAGGAATATGATTTTAGAGCGAAATGTTCACGAGCTTGAAGAGAAATACAAGGTAGCACACGAGGAGCAATGCTGCATCAGAAAGAACTATGAGGACAAGGTGAAAGAATGCAAAGACTTGCATAGATCTATTGCCAGATTACAAAGGACTTGCAGTGAACAAGAGAGGACAATCGATGGCCTACGAGTGTTCTATGAGGAAGTTAGCAAGAAAAACACAATGGGAGATTTTGATATTGAATTATCAAAGTTGAGAATGGAACAAATGAGGTTGGTAGTAGTGGAGTGTAATCTAAGGAAAGAAGTTGAGTCTTACAGGATTGAAGTTGATTCACTTCGGCTTGAGAACATACATTTATTGGAACGCTTAAATGGAGGTAAGGCTGAGGATGGACTCTCAACATTTAAGCTAGATCAAGAGTTGCAAAACCGTGTGTGCTGCTTGGAGACCCAAGGACTATCTTTACTTCAAGAAAGCACCATTCTTTGTGGAAAGTTGTTAGAATGCATCAAAGCTAATGCAGGAGACATGCTGCAGGATGGACATGGTTGTTTAGATGGAGGGTTAGATGGTCAATTCATCGTTGAATCTGATATTCGAATCCTCAAGTTTAGGAGGGGGGTTGAAAATCTAGCAAGGAGCTTACAGAATGTTATGGCTGTGTTCCATGATAAGTCTGAACATCAGTTACCTTGTTTAGAGAGTAAAATATGCCAATCAAATGATAAGAATCCAGAAGTAAGTAGGTTGTGTTACTTCTTTATAAAATAATAATCTCTTTGTCTTCTACTAATATATATTATTTTGCCTTATTTTGGTTTATCCATAGAAAATAATGAGGTCTGAGTTAAAAGCAGAGACTTTGCTTACACGTTTGTTGAGGGAGAAGCTTTATACGAAAGAAGTAGATATAGAGCAACTTCAAGCTGAGCTGGCAGCTTCTGTCAGGGTTAATGACATGCTTAAATGTGAGTTACAAAATGCACGAGATGGCCTTTCATGTCTTACCCACAAGATGAAAGACCTTGAACTTGAGGTGAGTCAAAGTTATATGTGTTTACTTCCGAGCAACACCCACGTAAGAATTTTCTTACCTTTCTAACTTACTAGATGTAGTTCACCTGGAGACTTCACATGAAGACTTTCTGGAAATTTTTGGTGGGAGTGGGGTGGGGGTGGGGTGGATCTTTGAGGCTTATTGAAGGAATTTTTTTCTTTCTAAAAAACTATACAGCTGGCTATGATCCATATGATGAGCCTTGCATTGCAGTTTTGTGGTTAGCTCTTTCTTGAAAGTGTTGTGTTGAATTGTTTTCCTTTTTTCTTCATTAGAGGATCAAGAAAGATGAAAATATTGATCAGCTTCAGATTGATCTCCAAGAGTGCATGAAGGAATTGACAATGTTGAAGGGGATACTACCCAAAGTAACACAGGAGAGAGACTTAATGTGGGAGGAGGTTAAGCATTACAGTGAGAAGAACACGCTGATGAATTCTGAGATGAATGCAATAAAGAAGAAGATGGAAACACTGGATGAAGACATACTCCTCAAAGAAGGTCAGATCACAATCTTAAAAGACACACTTGGCAAGCGGTTCGACCTTCTCTCTAGTCCTGGTTCTACAAACGACTTTTTGCTTGGTTGACAGGTTCTGTTTTTTTATAGAATATATCAGCTATGTTTCTTTACTTGTATATTGCTTGATTTGGAAGTACTAGTATATATGCTCAATGCAAACTTTATCTTTGTGGTAAAAATATCGGGCTTCCCACTTTGTAGGAGCCGTAATCAAACCTTCCAAAGGGAGGTTTTTCTTTTTTATATCTGCACTCGTGTTTCTGGATTTATTTCTTCCAGCACTCTCTGATGCCACAAGGTTGTGATTGGCTTCTCAACAAGTGCTCAAATTACTCTTGATCTGGAAATGTCTACTTTGTCCTCAGGCCATCCTATACTTACTGTTGCCTCTACTTTCACTGTGGTATTTGAACTCTATGAGGGAAATGGGTAGATTCCCATGTTTAGGAGTTTCTTTTTCATTATGGCAACTTTGACTGAATTATATACCTAAACTTAAAATATTGAGAGCTTAAAAAATGATCCAGAAAATCTCAAATCTCCTAATTATAACATTATTATGATAGCCAAACACACTAACACAGTCATACATGAAATACAATAGAGGGACTTGCATAAAAAAACTACTTACATAAAAGCAAACTAGTTTGTTGCTTAGACTTTCTCCATAGACTCAAGGGTCATTCATTTAATTTTCTAACCTCACAAAAGCTTCTCTAAATCACGAATGAATTTGCCTATGTAATTGTCAGCAAATCCGTTGCTCAGAAACACATCCCTCCACCTCTTATGGTTCTTCTTCAGCTGGCCTCCCACCTCGCTATCATCACCCATGGCTGCCTTGACACCTCTGCTAAGGCTCTCTTTTGAAAACCCACCATTTTCATCCATTTCCACCTCCACTGCAAGCTGAAGCTCCACAGCCATGAGCCTGGAATTCATACAATAGTCTCCCCTAGTCGGCACGAACACTATCTGGCAATCACTCACTATGGACTCCCACATTGATGCCGAACCGCCGTGGCTCACAAAGCATCCAATTGATGTGTGCCTTAGAATCTGAGTCTGCGGGACCCACCCTTCGTACAACACCGCCTTTTCTCTTACCCTTTCTTGGAATCCCTCTGGTAAGGCATCTTGGATTGAGGTTGTCCCTTTTGGTGGCTTAGTTCCAGCCAGAAGAAAGGGTAGCCCTGTGAGCTCAAGGCCTAGAACCAGTTCTTGGAATTGGGAAAAATCAAGAAAAAGTTCACTCCCAAATGAACAGAAAACCACAGAAGCAGAACCGAATTTCTTGAGAAAATTCGAAATCTTGTCATCAAGTGGCTCATCCGTAGGCTCAGGGAAGAGAGGACCTGTGCAAAACACTGGCTTCTTATACAGCACCGAGAGGTGGTCGCAGTGGGCCCCTTCCATTTCTCTGCAGGCTCTCACTGCCAATGCATCACTCTGTTTGGCTCCTATCACACCCTTGCTAAGGAACTCTATCATCCAGTTGTTTGGTTGATTAGCATACACTGCTAAGGCTCGTGCTTCATTTTTGCGAAGAACAGGCGCATTGGAAGAAGGGTAATTCGGGAGATATTCCATTACATCAGACACTGTCAACAGCTTCTCTTTGCTTGTGGAGATCAGCAGAGTGATTGCAGCTATCGCAGGGCTTACGACACTGAAAAACACTGCCTTGCAGCCTATCTCCGAGGCTAAATTCGGGATCCAATTCGCAAAATCGAAGAATATGATGTCTGGCTTCTTCTCTTCCGCAAGCACCGCCTTCACTTGCTCCTGCATTTCATCCATGGCTGATGACAGCGCTAATGAGTTGTCCGTATCAGATGTTGTCTCGGCGCCATAAGGGAGACCTATTAACAGCATACATCATTTGTGAATATTTCATATGGAAGTAGAAGTTTACATTTCTAACATTTTGCAACTTCTTTAGATGCATTAATGCATTAACTTCCCAAAACTTAATAAGAAAGTAAGAAGAAACAGAAGTTTAATGCATCATTTTGATTTAGTCCATTATGCATCCGAAACCAAAATATTGTCCATGTTAACATTTTGCATGCAGAGGTAAAAGTGAAAGCGATTTATTTTGGTTTAATAAGTTCTACCACAATAAAATGTGTGTAAAATCTAAACTTATAGTTCTAATTTTTATTGTCATGGCAAGATTTATTGCTCAAGAAAGCTCTGATACCACGTCACTGAATGAACTGACCAAAGCCTCTGGTTTTATACCTTTAACGTGAGGTACGGAGAGAGTGCGGAAGGTGATGAGGCGGGGATGAAGATTTGCGTTTGATAGTCTGAGGCGAGCCGTTTTGGGCAGTAAGAACGAGACGGTGTGGCCTCGTTTTGCGAATTCGTTGGCCAGCTGCATGAATGGGATCATGTGGCCCAAGGCCAGCCATGGAAGCATGGCTATGTGAAGAAGCTTTGATGATGATGAATCCATCCCCTCTTTCTTCACCATTCTTCTTCTTCTTCTTCTTCTTCTTTTAATGTGTGTGTATATATATATATATATATATGTATGTATGTATGTATGTATATATGTATCTATATCTATTTCTTAGCCAAGGAAATGTATATATAGATGAGTTGATCAGCTGCCACCTCTCTCAACCGACCGTTTTCCCGAATCAGAGTCATCAAGATGTTAATGTTTTGGTGTACAGATTTTAATGTGCAGTAGGGTTGTCGTCATTCTTATTAATTCAATTCAATGCTTTTTGATTGATGGATGCCCTTCCAAGCTCAATCCCCACTGTCCTTGCGTAGGACACTTGTTGGTATGATCTGCCGCACAGAGCCCAAAAATTATAGGGGCCCCCCTTTTTATTACTCCCTATGAATGTTATTTCTTCTTTTTTATCTAAACAAATTTCAATGTAGTTTCAGTTTTGCAGATCATACTTAGGAGCTGTTTGACAACTTCTGACTAGGTAAGTGCTGAACCAGTAAGATGTCTGAACCATTAAGTGTTGAACCAGTAAGAGGTCTGAACCATTAAGAGCTAGTATATTGCTTAACTATTCAGAGGCAAATGTTTGATCAATTCAGATAAGAGGTCTTAACCATTCAGACTCTGTATAATACTTAACCATTCAGAGGCAAATCTCTTAACCATTCAGACATCTGAACCATTAAGAGACTGAAACAAACAGTCTGAACCATTAAGTGCTGACATCTGAACCATTAAGAGGCTGAAACAAACAGCCCCTAAGACAAAACAACGATGGAAGATTCAGTTTACTTTCAAAAAGAAAGTGAGATGAAAAAAACTTTTTATTTCTTGGTCATCATGTTAACATTGGAAGGACAAATATGAATTGAAGGAAACAAACAGTTAATCACTCACTATCATGGACTAACAACCCTTGCAAATGGTGGATGAAGTTGTCCACATACCCACTCAAGAACCCATCCTTGCTCAAAACCTCCTTCCACTTCTTATGATTCTCCCTAACCAAACTCCCAACCTCACTATCCTCATCCATCACAGATCTGGCCGCCATACAGATTCCCTCCCTAGTAAGAATATGTTCTTTAGGGCTTGCACTATTAACTTCCAGTTTCTTCCAGTTCTTTCTAGTTTCTTCTAGTTTCTTCCATTCTTTTCCGTCTTAAAGAACAGGCTGCTCTAAATTGCACGTCGTTGTCGTCCCTCTCCGCCTCTACCGCAACCTCTGGCGTTCAGGCTCTGGTCAAGAATGTTGGGCGCAAACACCAGCTGACAATCGCTCATCAGCGCTTCCCACATTGACCTGTACCCACAATGATTCACGAAACACCCTACGGATTTGTGCCCTAAAATAAGATCTTGGGGCACCCACCCTCCGTGGACCATCCCTCTGCCTTTCACCCTTTCTTGGAATCCCTTCTGGAAGGCTTCTTCCACCGAGTTTGTCCCCTTAGGTGGCTTTACGGCCACCAGAAATGGCAGATTTGTGTCTTCAAACCCAAGAACTAGCTTTTGGAATTGGCCCTTTTCGAGAATCCATTCGCTCCCGAATGCGCAGAAAACCACAGAGCCCAGGTTGAATTTCTCCAACCAATTCTTGATTTCGTCCTGTAGTGGGTCTCAAATGTGTATTAAGTGGAACATATTTTGATATTTTTAATTATCTTAACTTAGCATAAGTTCCGAAAATGATTATTTTAATGAAGTATTTTTCCAAAATGATCTTTTCCAAGTACACGAGGTTATTTGATTCATATTTTAAAATTTTTTGATAGATTTTCTATAATTCATAGATTATGTAAAATCAATAATTATTCTAATTTTACATAAAATTTTACAGAAATGTCCATTTTGAAAATTACTTTAATCTAGATAATGGAAATCTAAAATACTTTCAAATTAATCGTTATCTAAGTGACATTTTATATGAAAGACTACTTCGAGAATAAATCTCAATTATAAAGTAGAATGTAGGTAATTAAAACTTATCGAAGACTGAATCGATAAAACACCTCTTTAGAATGAACCATTTTAGAAATTTATTCTATAATAAAATATTTGGGAATGCTGATATGATAAAGTATGAGGATTGAGATAGCTTATGTGAAAGTTTGGAAAAGACTAATGTTAAAGTTACAAACAAAATAGTCACAAAATACACAAAATTATCATTTACTATGTACTTTAGTTTTTATTTTTTAATTATTTAAAACTAATTTTTATTAATGCACCAACATTTTATGTCCGTGTAAATTTTTTTTAATCCACCAACACTTGTGTCGATGTAAACCATCAAAATGTTTGTGTATAACTACGGTATACAAATGGAATACAATTTTTGGTGTAAGTCTAGCATGGTTGATTTTAATTTCTTGAAATCAAATTCCAATTCAAAGCCCCCAAGATCGGCCTTTTCCCAAACCCCTTATTGCACTTTGTTCTTCTTCTCCTTCTTCTTATTGGCGAGTTCTCGAGTTTCTGCAGGTTTTCCTTTTCTTGAAGCTCCTCCTGCAACAATGGCGATGGGGTGATCCTTTTCACTTTCCGCGGCCGACCCGAGTTTTCGATCTGGTTCGGTTCGGATTGAACCAATTGGTCGCTGTCCCTGCGGCGGTTGTGATTCACAGGACACTTCTGACGAATGGAGTCTATGGACAGGGAGAAGAGCGACTCTTCCTCGTCTTCCTCGTCGCAGCCACCGCGGCGGCGCGTGAGAAGATTCAGCGGCAGTGAAAAGAAGCTCGAGTCCGTACTGATCTCTGGTTCACCGTCACTGCAGCCTTCATCCTTCTCATTCCCTTTCTCGGCCACTTCATCCTCTTCTTGGTTACAATCCAAAGCAAATGTGCCTTTCTCTTCTTCATCTCTGAGATTTAGAGTCAACAAAGCATTAATACTTTCTTCGTTCTAAAATGATCTTCTCAGTCACTATTCACATATCAAATTTCTATTCACATGATCAAATTTCTTGTTCTGTAAATATAATCAAATAAATTGAATTCAAAATAACTTCAACCAAATCTCGTAAACAGAACTGGAAAGATCGTTTTAGAATGAAGAGAGTAATCAATTTTCTTTACCAAAGACTTTGTGATCCAGCATATAGCGATACACTGGTGCCTATCTCATATTGAAAGTGTGATGACAGTTCGATATCCGGGGAGGATTTTGTATGCTAAAAACAAAAAATATCTTACTTGGAATTCAGAATGTGAGATGATTTCATAGTAATAATTTCACTCTCATCATCGGCTTCGAGGAGACTGCGAAGACACTACATAAGTAGAAGAAGAAAAGTGATTACTCCACTAAAAAGAGAATATCAAGGGGGGGAAAAAGAGAGTAAAAAGGATTAATGGAATGGATTAGTTGCTGCAATTACCTGTTTTTTGGAAGAAGGGAGGGGGTCATTATTGGTGGGCTTTATGAGTTTCTTGTGGTTTGAAGCAGCATGGAAACAACAAGCAGTAAAGCAGGCCATGTTTGGAGAGTCAAAAGTAGGGTGTTTGATAATGGAGATGAGAAATGGAAAAGATGATATAGAAGAGCTTTAATGGTGGAAGCTTGAAGATTGTTAGCTACAAACCAGACCAAACAGGGCCTTAACTGGTGAAAGAGAAAAGGGTAGTGCCTTTTTTAAAACTTTTTTAATGGGATTTGAAATTATATGACCGTTAGCCGGTGGTGGGCCTGTGGGCTTGTGGAAGTGATCACTTGTCTTGACGACTTGGCCTATGTACATTTTTTGATAGTTTCGACATAGCCATATATTCTTTTTTTTATAAAGAAAAATAATATTTTTTTTGAATGCAAGAAAAATAATATCCTCTCGGTTCTAAAATATTCTTCTCAATTACTATTCACACGGTCAAACTTTAATCACTTTGTTTTTTTTCTACGTATTTTCATTATTTATTTGATAAAGGAATGTAGCCTTGTCGCCTCTTGTTTGTAATTTGATATAGTTTATAAATATATAAATATTGTTTTTTTATTTCATAACTACAATCAAATAAATTGAATTCAAAATAAAGTTGACCGAACCTCGAAAACAAAAACGGGAAGAAGATTTTAGAACGAAGATAGTATTTATTTTGGAACGAAGAGAATAAAAAAAGATATCCAAAAAGGACCACATTTTATTTTTATGCTATATGAATATATGATAATATTTTGAAAGTAAAATATGAGGGTGAGATAATATTTTTGTTGGGCTGAGATAATGTTTTTGTTACAATTAAAATCACTTGTTGAATCAGTCAACTTTGAATTTATAAGAGGAAGACCTTATTAGAAAATAATTGGGACCAAAACCAGATGGGAAGAGGACCATTTTGGGCCGAACAATAAACGGAGTATTTTGTTGGGTGTTGAGACCTTTTGTGAAGACCAAGTGATAAGGCGTGATCATATGCTCCTTCCAAAATAAAATTTAGAATTAAGCTATTTGTACTTCAAAAATTATATCCTAAAAACATGTACTGACATTTTGTACTAGTGTGATGATTTAAGTTGGCAAAAAATATCAATACAATTTTTATTAAATTAAACTAACATTTTTTACCCGTGTGAACCGTACAAAATGTTGGTGGATTTCTTTGGGGTACACTTTTGGTGTACCCCTAGCATGGTTGTAAAATTTATGTTACTACGTACGGAGTATATGTTAAGAAACCAGCTCAATACGTCCCATCACGTGCCCTAGAGCTAGTAAATTGGTCGAGTCCAGGTCTGGTCATTTCGAGTTCAGATTATTTTGGATTCGAGTTCGAGTTGAGAACTGTATGGTTATGACCCAGCGTAATCAGGTTTAGATCGACCCAACGGATTATGAGTATGATTTTTAAAATATTTAAATTCATATTATCACATGCATTTCGCATTAAATAAAATTAAAATATAAAAAAATGTGTATGAAATCTATTATATCATTTTATTTTAACTTTAGAAGTAGTTTTTAGGTATATAAATAAATATAAAAATTATAAAATGTATACTATTTTGAAAAAGTAATATAATTATGCAATATCATTAAATTTAGTTCACATTTTTAAAATTTTTTAAATTGTTGAAAATATTTTACGAGTATATTCTAATAAGGTAAAATGAATATATTTTTTTATAAAATAAGGAACAGAATAATCCAAAAAAAGATAAAGTTTGACATTATTAATAATAATTTTGAAATTTTTTAATAAGATGAAAAAGATATTGTTTTAAGTTGGCAGAAATCCTTGACTTTTTTTCAAAGGGCCAAATTTTTTTAACTTTTTTTAAATGATAGATAATTTTTCTGTGTTGATACTTATTATTGATAAGTAATTTTTAGTTTATAACATGTTTATAAGTTAAATATTTTTTCTACAAGTCAATTTAGTTTGAGCCATTACTAAAAATCTAAATTTTAAAAATTGTCCAATTATAATTTCAAAACATAGCCCAATTACTGCGTATAAGTTTATAACTTACCCCAAAAGAAAAACCAATCATAAAATGCTAAAGTCACAAAAACTGCGGTCACAAAATACGCAAACTTTCCATTTGTGCACCTCACCAAGTGAATAAAGTAATGATAAATAATTAAAAAGTAGACATTTAAATACATAAATAGTAAGTTTGTGTATTTTGTGACCAAAATGTTTGTGACTCTAGCACTTCTCTAAATAGGGAGTGCAAATGAAGAGAGGCGAGGACTATGATTTTTGTTAGAGCTGGCCAAACGGTTGGTCAGGTCGGGTTTGAGTTTGATCATCTTGAGTTTGGATTACTTTGAGTTCGGGTAAATTCGGATTCAGATTGAGAACTACATGTTCATTTTGGGTTTGACCAATTTTTAGCGGGTCATTTCGCGTTCGGTTTGCAAAATCTTTGTTCAAAATCTAGTATTTTCAGATCGAGTTATTTTTTGACATGTCTAATTTTTGTTACGTTTTTTTAAGGACTTAGGTTTATTTCTAGCTATAAATTTAATTATAGTTTAAAAGATTAATTTATATAATTTTTTTTTGAAGTCTTAATTTATATAATTTAATTTGCTGGCGGGTCAATGATGATATTATCGGTTGTGTCCAACTTTTTACAAGTTTGTATTTAAATATTTCTCAATTAGAAAACTATTTTTACCCATAATTTTTTCTTACCATATCTGTCAAATTATATTCTTTCACTAATAATCTATGCAACACATCTTACTTTTACTCATCATATCAAAGATAAAATTGGAAAATCAAGCACATATATACACTCCTTATTTCTGCTAAAAATCAAAATAAAATTATTTTATGAAACAGAGAGTATTTTATTAAATGAATAAACATGAAAACATGCTTAAATTTTAACCCTACAAATATTAAAATCATAAAATGAAAGTTTATTTTGAAAAGAATGAAATATTTTAGTGGTAATATACAAGTATTGGAAGGATAATGCAAAACTTTCTCATTTTTGACATAGATGGGTTAATCAGAGAGTGCACAAAGGAAAAAAAAACACTGAAAACAGAATATTCAGATGATGGGATTGTAATTTGTGTCTTTTTGTTTCTTTGAAAGTTTCCCCATGCCTCCACTTCATCACTATTCTGACAACTAAAATTTCCCCCCCCTTTTTTTTTAAAAAATTATACCCCGTATTTTCTTTCTTTTAATATTGGGTCTTGAAAACTCTAAAGCCTTCTTCAGCTTTCAGTGTAAGTTTAGAGAGATGGATTGAACAATTTCCACTCTAAAGCCTTTTTCCATATTGGGCTTTCACTCACAAATTTAATTGGACTTACATGATTATGTTGTTTAACTTTAGTTTTTATGTTTATTTTTCTAAAAAATAAAGTCTGAATATCGGAAATCTCAATATCCCGTTTCATATCTGATTCAATTTTTTTTAAAGATTATTCGATCTGAAATATACGAAAGCTAAAGTATCAGATCGAATATCTAATTTTAGGCTCAGAATGGCTCATGTTGTAGACGGATTTTTTGGATTGAATATTTTTGAACACTCCTATTTCTCAATTCACCACAACATCCGTTCATACTTCTTCTTAGTCGGTTGAACAACGCCCCCCTAATAATCATTTTTACAAAATAGGATGAACCCATTTTAGGATCCTCCCATTAAATTTAAATTTTAGATTGATGAATAATGAATTAGATCTGTCTTAGACACTACTCATTGCTAAACCAAACCTCAATATTAGACCAACTATATTGTGTCTTTGACTTTAAAAATGATGAGATTTAGAACATTGTTGGAATAAGGAATACTCCATACCATTTTGAAATGAAAGGAGTAAGATTTTGTATTCCCTATTTAATTGTGAGTTAAAAAAAACTGAAATTTGTGGTTTGAAATGTAATTTAGTTTAATTAGGTGCCTTTCTTCTGCAAATAAAGCATCTGCCTTTGTCTCTTCTTCTTCTTCTCCACCTGTAAGCTGTTACAAAAGAATCATCATAATTATTCATCTCTCACCTTCCACTCAAATCCCAATATAATTATTACTTTCATTTCACTGTTTATTTCCCATACTTCTCTTCTTCCCCTACATGATCCTCCCAGTCTATGTATTTAATTTGATAAATTTCATGTTTTTTTGTATGAAAAATATATTAATCTTTCTTCATGTCAATAAATGATGCATGAAAAATCTGATATCTATGGAAAAAAATTCTTTTTTTTTTTGCAGTTGAAGATGAAGGAAGCAGAGTAGGTATTGGGCAGGTCAGTGAAAGAGAATTCTTTTGATTTCTCTTTTGTGTTTGGTTTGTTATTTATTTATTTTTTGTTGCATGTTTTATTATATTTTATCTGTAAACTAAAACTGTTTGATTTTTTCAACAAAATCCCAAGTTTTAAGCGTTTCTGGTGAAATTTAGTTCTTTTCCTCTATTTCAAATATGTACACCCAAATAAAACCTTCAGCTACTATTCTAAATTCACGACAATTTTAAATTGCGCATATGTTTTTATGGATCGTTTTATAAAATAATACAGCCACATTACTTACTACCTCCGGTTTTGATTTTTTTCAATCAACTGTTTTCAATCTTTGGCCTATAATTAAATAAAATATATATTGTATTTTAATTAAATAAAATAATATTCTGAAAATATTTGATATAATAAATCTAATAAAACTCTTTTTGTATCAATATCTAATATCATTTTTATTTAATTTGAGATCAAAGTTTATCAATTTTGACCAAAAAAAGTCAAAAGTGGACAAATACTCATGGACAGAGGGAGTATGTTATATTTCTAACTTTTTATGAAATTTTTAAATATCATATATATATTTTTTTATTTTTATACCATTAAATTACATTTTACTTAGTAAATCTCCCCTAAGTGACTAAAATAGGATTTATATTGCGAAATAATGCCAAAACATAATGCATAAAATATTTTGAAATACCGAGTTTTTAAAATGTCAATACTCCTGTTTAAAGAATAAAACATAAAAATGTCTTACTATTTTATGTTTTAATCTTATTTACATAATTTTT